GCTTGTCTTACAGTTTTGTGCGCCTCCTCCCTTCTTCCATCCCTCACTCCTTCCCTCTCTTAATTCTGTCTCCCTGCACGTATTGTAAGCTTATCTTACTTCTTAAGACAAAGTTTAGTTATAATCTGTGTCCGATAATTCCATGTCCAGACTCCTTACATGCCCGTGTCTGCTCTCTGCTGCCTCTCACTTCGTGTGCCTGGTTTCCACTTGTGTTTGGCTGCAGCCGACCGCCCGCGGTTCATTTCCCCTCTAGTTTTACACGCGTGCCTTCTTCCAGGTCGGTGTGCAGGGGGCTCCTCCCAGAAGGGATTCCCGTCGCTCTGGTGGAGGCCCAAGGCCATCACTGAGGTCCCACAGCCGTACTGGCAGTTGGTCGGGGGCTACCCTGGGCCCCCAGAGGCCACCACATGTGCTGTGTGGTCCCCTAGCTGTCAGAGCCAGTAGTCCTCTTGTCCTCCAGCAGTCTGAGTCTAATGAGGAAATAGAGACCACATGGTTTATATAAACTGTGGGGAAAGAGTGGAAGATACAAGGGAGCTCTCTAAGGTGCTCCGGGGCCAAGGGAGACCCGGGGCAGGACAGGCTTGGAAAGGATTCAGGCCTCCTTGGAGAAGGCGTGGTTCGCCTGCCTGACATTCCAGAGGCTTGCTGGCCTGGCTGGGGTGGGTCTGGAGGTGCTGGACGAGCAGGAGGCCACCTTCCGGAGTGCAGGCAGGAGAGCAGGTGGCCAGTGACATGGCTGTGTAGCGGAGTCCCTGTGTGCAGGAGGCCTTCGGGGCACGTGAGCCGTGCAGGGACTGGCTCTGGTGTCGAAAGGGCTGCAGGAAGGTCATTTCCAGGCTGAGCCCACAGGACCCAAAAGCAACCTGGTCTGGGCCCGAGCCTGCCCAGGCCTCACCAGACGTCCTCACACCCACTCCGCCAACTCCCTGTCCCCGCCTGCAGGGTCCCTCCAGCTCCCTCTGCTGAGACCGCCTAACAGCACGCTCTCCTTAAGGAGAGAAGAAGGAGTTCAGTTGTTTATCGTAGAGCATGTACTAAAGGGGACGTTCTGAGCCAATCAGCAGGAAATTCGTAAGTGACACACACACTCCCAAGGCCTTTGTCGGGGAGAGCCCTGTCCCTTTTAGGGGCTCAGCCAGTTGGGTCACATCTACTCCGGAGGGCTTCCCGTTCCCGAAGCCAGCTGTGTGTTACACACTGACCACGGGGTGGCCGTCCTGCTCACTGTCTCAGGTTCAGGCAGGGTGTGTACGCCAGGGGATGGGTATCTCGGGGGACACAGGGGAGGGGGTCTGCCTGCCCCAGCAGGGCGGGGCGGGGTGGGAGAGGAGGTGGAGACGAGGCTGACTCAGAATCACATGAGGAATTGGTTTGCAGAGGACACAGGTTGTATTTCATTCTGTGCTTGACTGCATGTCAGCTGGCCCACGAGAAAGAGAAGGAATAACTAGTATTTGTGAGGTTTCTATTTGTAACTACTCCACAGAGTGCTTTCATAATTCGGTCTTTATTTCTTCACATTTTGAGGCAGGGACTATGACCTCATTTTACAAAAGGGGAAATTGAGGCTTGGGGCTGCGAGGCCACTTGTGTGGAGACAGACAACTGATATTTGAGGGGCTGGAATTAAAGCCCAGCCCTGCCTAGTGTGGAGCCCCATATTTTCCAGGAGCGTCTGATAACACGTGGCCTTGGAAGCATGTGTGTCTTGGATTGGGAGGAGGGCGGATGACCGAGATCATCTCGGTGGAGAGAGGGCCAGTTGCCTTCAGCATCTCAGCTGTCTCTGAAGGAGTCCACTGACAGAGGTCACTCCTGTCACGGCCCTCCCTGGAGGGACAGTGGGTCAGAGGAGAAGTCCTTGCCAGACTTCCCCATTCCAGCAGGGAAGCTGGGCCTGTGTCCGCGTGAGCTGTGTGTCACTGGGAAGTAACCACACCTCTGGTCCCTGTTCTCACATCTGAATGTGAAACTAAAGAACAAGGCAAGATTTGAGCCCTGGCTGGTGTGGCTCAGTGAATTCAGTGCCGGCCTACGATCCAAAGGGTTGCTGGTTCGATTCCCAGTTGGGGCACATGCCTGGGTTGTGGGCCAGGTCCCCAGTAGGGGGCGTGCAAAAAGCAAGCACACGCTGATATTTCTCTCCCTCTCTTTCTCCCTCCCTTCCCCATTCTCTAAAAATAAATAAATAAAAATCTTGAAAATGAAAAAAAAAGGCAAGACTGAGAGATCCAGGGATAGCCTTTTTGGTGGTGGTGGGGTGCTTTATGCTTGGAGAGTTCTCATAGCCAAGAGCTGAGCTCATCACGAGTGGCCAGAGAGTGTGCGTAGAATGAACCCCCTGCCCCATGCGTGTCTCTCCCAAAGCACAGGCCACTGCTGCCTGGTCTGTCTGTCCCAGTCTTGGGAGCCCCTCGGGGGCTGGCCTCGCTTCTGATCCCTCTTGTGCATCCCCAGAGCCTGACGTGGAGTGTGGCGTTGGTGATGGTTGTGGGATAAATCAGGACATTTGTTTCAGCCTGGTCTAGTGGGACTCGGGAGCCCTGGGTCCCCACCCAGCCCTATCACTGATTCGCTCTCGGGGTGTTATGCTCCCTAGGGCCCAGTTACCTCGTCTTTAGAATGAGGAACGTGGGCTTGACTTGGGGCCATTCCAGCGCTGCAGACAGATGTCACCACGCCTCAGCAGCCCCGGGCGCTTGAATGATCTCAGACGGTTGGTTAGTAGGCTCGGCCTCAGGTTATGGGGACGTGTGGAACAGTGTGGGCGAATTGGAAGGGTACATTTCGTTCTCTGCCCTTGGACACATGAGGTAATAGATTCGTTGGAGTATGACCTCTTCCTCCACCCATTTCCATCAATTCAGACTGGATTTTCCCCCCTCCCAGTTCTCCACCGTGTTTCTCTGCCTTGAAGGGAACTTTCAAGTCAGAGCGGGGTCAGGAGGGCAGGCACACAGCTCAGCTGCTCGGAGGGGACAGTTCCTCCCTGAAATTTCAGAAGAACTGGCCGGGGCTGTTTCCCAAGGAACTTAGTTGAACTGTGGTTTGTGAGTGTTTTTAAGTGAGATGTTTTGCTTGAATCGAACCATTAAAAATAGTGTGTAAAATTTAATTCAAAAAAGTTTCTCAATATTAATCTGAGCAAGCCCAGTGGACTTCCTTCTAGATATTTTCCCCCTCGGGTACCCAGTGAGTATCATGGGTTTAAGCAATAATCAGCAGATGGATTCCTTACTTCCTTAACCCCCAGATGAGTTTAGATTTTGCTAAAAGAAATGTCAGTACTTTGGAAGGTAACTTCTGTTGTGGAAACATTAGTTTGAGGGGATTCCTGGGTCAGGAGCTCCTACCACCTGATTAGCGTTGGGACCACAGGCAGGTCACCGAGCCTCTCTCTGTCTCAGTTTCCGTAACTGTACTGTGGGGGAATTCAGAGGAAGGTCACCTGTTTTGAAGCAGAGCACCAGCAGTTGTGCAAAGCTCCCAGGTGGTCAGCGAGCCGTCGGGGTTGGGAACTGCTGCTATGCAGCGTCTGAGAAAGGGCGGGGAGCTGGTATCTCGGGCAGGACTGTACATTTTTGGTGAAGACAGGGGACAGAGTCTAGTCCAGGTTTAACCTGTTTTTTATTTCAATGTCTGAGCAGCAGCCAGCTCTCTCAGACTCTCATGAAGGGATGGGCGACGGCTGTGCAGCCAGCTTCCCTCGTCTGCTGTGATTGGGGAAGTCCTGGGTCTGTGGAATTTTCCATGACTCGCAGCTCTGCACCGTGAGTGTCCGCCACGGTCACAGAGCTTTCCAGTGTGTCTGCCCGCGCCGCCCCCCTTTCTGTCACTGCGGTGTCAGATGGCTGTCAAACCCCAGCTCCACGCCTGGGGATTTTGCTGGTGTTTACCCCTCTAGTCCTCGGGCTGGATCAGAGGATCTCATCTGAATTAGCTTTTTGTTTATAAAGTGAGTCGGCCAGAGGTATCTTTTTTGGCCCGGTTTCCTCGGGTGTCGTGTTCCCTGTCACAGAACCCCCTTCTGTGGGGCGGGGTGGGGAGAGCGGGTGCACTGTTAGTGGAGGCGCGAGCTTCTGGTGTGGTGCTGGCCACTGGCGATCAGAGTCGGCTTTTTGATCCTTTGTTGCACAGGTTCCAGAAATGACAGCAAATGAAAGAACAGAGATCCAACCAGACGATGCCCCGGCTCTGTTTGGCCAGTTCCCTCCTTTAGGGGAATTCAAGGTCCTAAAATTTCTCTGCTTCGGCTATAGCTCGGCAGTCCTCAGACTTCATGGAGTATGTGAGTGACTATGTCAGGTGTAAAGCCCCTTGTGAGCAGAACAAGCAAGCGTTAAAGACCGTCTGTGTGCCGTTTTTCGCATCTGACCCTGCAGTACGTGTGACACAGTGGGGCTTCCTGTGGAACTGTCCGTAGATTCTGAAGTGGGCAGGGGGGTGAATGCCCGTTTGGTTCGGCGCGTCTGTGGCCCGAGTTTGCGTGGCGATGGTGGTAGGAAAGGGGCACTCCATTCAGTGGGAGAGTCTGACGGGGGGCGGGGGAGCTGGAGTGTCACCTGGCTGTGCCAGTGAAAACACGGGTGTCCCATGGGCCGCGGGCCTCGGCATTTGGAGAACGGGGAAGGCGACAGCTGTTTTCCCTGAGCGTGGGAGCTGTGACGATAAACTGAGATTGGGTAAAAACACTCTAAGGTAAAGATACGCATATGAGTTTGGGAAATCTTGGCTACTCAGAAGGAAGGAAGTGGGAAAAGACAGAGAGAGCAGCGGTCCTGGGACGAAGCCTCGCCGCTTTGCAGCGGGTCGGAACCGCTGGGCGTGCCGGGGGGACGCCGGCTCCCGGTCGCACAGTGTGTCACGAACTCGCGTTGAAGGCCGGACCGAGCAGTTTTACTGAAGCTCTTTTCTTTCGCTCTAATTGCAAATGGTCCTGTTCCCACATGATTTCACCACTTTCTGTTGTCGTTCCTCCCCCACGATTCTTCCAGCTGGCTGATTGCAATTCTGGCCCAGCTCAACCCTCTCTTCGGACCGCAGCTGAAGAACGACACCATCTGGTATCTCAAGCACCACTGGCCTTGAGGAGGGAGACCCGCAGCCCAGGGCTCAGCCACCGAGGTGACTATACACCCTTGACCTTGCACGTCGTGTCGTCAGTCACTCACCGAGAGCTCGCCGTGACTCTTTCCCAGAATTTTTGTGGCATTTTAACACTGGGCGAGGGCAGGCTGCCGGAAGCCATCGTGGTCTGAAGAGCAGAAGCAGATTTGGAAGTTAGGTTGGTTATTTACTGAGGGACTTGTCCACGAGATTCTTTTAAATTCTGCTCTTCCCCTGCCACTTCAAACACACTTTGATGTACAAGGTTAAGTTCCCATGCCGTCTTCCAGACACAGCTTGGGAAAGGGACCGCTAGGGTTGATGTCACAAGACTCAGCAGCCTCAAGAAGTGGCTGGCAGGTTTGAAACTGAGTGCGTTTCTGAATGCTCTGGATAGAGAGCGAAGGGTGCTTTCCTGAAAACTGGTCTTGAAATTGCAGCTTTGATTTGGTTCTGAGGATTGGAGGGGTGAGGAGTGCTGCGGTGGACAGACTCGGTCACTGGCCGAGGTCGGACACCCTGTCGTGTAGTCTGCTCCTCTGTTGCCGTCATTTCGATACAGGGAACACAGCGCTACGTGCTTGGCTAGGTTCTGGGCAGCTTTTGGGCAGGGACCCCCTTTGGGGCTGCCGCCCACGAGCCTCGCGCTGCCTGTCAGGGACACGCGTGTGCCTGGCCCTCCTCTCTCTAGTGGTGCTGGGGTGTTGGTGGTTTCAGGTGGTGACGGCCCGGCGCTCCATTGCAAAGGGCTCTGTCAGCCTTTCATCCGGGGATTCGATCCTGTGATGAGCATAGCCTGAATTGGGAGTTTCTGTAGAAACTGCAAACTGGTGATTTTCTAGTTTTGTTGTGGCTTCTCCATTTGAGTAGATGAGCTCTCTCTAATAAAGATGAACTTGCCCCCGTCAACTAGGGTTATTTAGTAACCTTGAAATATAGGTCATACAGGAAAAGCAGAATACATATTTATTTTTTTTATTTTAATTTTCAGAGTAAATTATTGGTGCTCAAGTTCCTTCTAGGGTGTCCAGTGAGGTTTTCTTTTCTTTCCTTTGTAGTTGTGATCGGTTACATTCATTGTCCTTTTTGTGTTTAGTTGTTTTTCTTCGGCCTGTGGGAGCCTGTCTAGACCGGCTTCTGTGTCCATCGGGTGCTAGTCTTTCTGTACTTTCCGGCAGCGTCAGGTGTCCCCGACCCCTCGTGTGTGTTTCCTGGCCCCGGCTTGGAATCAGCTGGCCCTCCAGTTGCTTTCTGATTGCCTTCTGGAAGGACCCTGGCTCCCTTGTCGGTTCCCCGGCCCCGCTGGCCCTGGTCTCTCTCAGTGGGGATGGCATTTAAAAACCAGGAGCCGACTTCTGTGTGCGCCTGTTCCAGCTGGGGGTCGTTGCTCCTAAGCCTTTACACTGGACAGAGCTGGGATAGTTGTAGGAAGAGAAAGAATCATGTGTGCGTGTCAGTCTTTCTAATTCAAACTTAACATTATAGGTTTTTTACTTCTTTGGTTTTATACTTGGTGTCCTTCACATATGCTGACAATCATGGTCCCTAACGCAGTCACTTGATTACTTACTTTCATTGTCCTACAGGACATGTAAAAGAGTTTTTCCAAGTAGCCCCAGTGTAACGACCAACTGTAGCTTTACTGGGTGCAGTTTGGCGAATCTTTCCTGCTTTATCTGTCCCTAGAATGAGGGAAGAGCAGAACGCTGTTTTCCGAGGTCACTTGAAACAATTTTTTCTGGTGGTTATCAATGTGAGATGTAGTTAGATTAAGTGTTATTTTGTGTTCAGTTCATAGTGGTTTTTATTTATTTGTTTGTTTTTATTGCTGATCTGTTACGGTTGTCCCAATTTTCCCCCGTTGCTCTCCCCTGCCCCCCCCACCCCCTTGTTCCCATAATCAGTCCCCACCCTGTTGTCCATGTCCACGGGTCATTTCATTGCAATTTTTTAATTTATTGCTATTTTTGAATATGTAAAACATATTCCCAAAGTCAAAATTATGAACAAGATATATTCAAAGAAGCCTGTCCTTCCTTCCTTCCGGTATTTCATTTTGCCTAGGATAAGCAAATCCATGCACCCTTGTGTGTGTGTGTGTGTGTGTGTGTGTGTGTGTGTGTGTGTGTCCCACACACACACAGCTGGCACGGGAAAGATACATAACGCATACTGCTCTACGGCTGGCTTTCCCGTGAACCCCGTAGCCTGGAGATCGCTCCCGTCAGTGGGTAGAGATCTTCCTGATTCTTTTTGTAGCTACTGCTGTCCTTCTGGACTGTTTCTGGTCCTTTGCTATTGTTAGTAAAGCCACAGTGCCGTCCTGTGCATATGACATTTTATATTTTTGCTAACGATCTTCAGGTTAGATTCCCTGAAGATGAAATCTCTGGTTAGAGGTAAAACTGCTTCTACTAGAGGTTACCACATTTCCTTCTCCAGGGAGTGTGCCATTTTTGTATTCCCACCAACAGTGTATCAGAATGCCTGGTACCTCACAGCTGGATATTTGCCAATCTGATAGGTAAGTAGTCAGCTATTTTTCCCCTCTTTGCCCAGGGTGTTTTGATTTCCCTCTTACATAACTTTTTTAATCTGATGCATAAGATTTTTTCCACAACGTCTCCTGATTTCTCTCCTTCCTTTTAGTCGTAGTGAGTGTTAGGGAGGGGTGTTGCTTGGGCTTTAAAGCCGAGGACTTCAGCATTGCCTCTCACGTCACGTCTCCGAGCCTCACTTCCTCGCCTTCTGATTGGACGGGTGGGCCCTTTGGTCCTGTGTAACCCCGGGTGTGTGGGTCTTCTCTGTCTCCTGTGTATGCTGACCTAACTGGTGGAGTCCTAACGTTTGCATTCTGGTCCACAGCACCTACTGGGGCTGCTGCTTACCACCCCGTGTTAAAGGTTGTTCCTTTAAAAGCGAAAGGCGAGGAAGTAGGAGGGCACCACCAGGTGAACCCTAATTCTGAGCACCATGGCACGTTTATTCCCCGTTTGAGGTGGTGACCCCAGAAGCGCCAGGACTCGGAGCCTTTGGAGTCACCCCACCCCGTCAGGACATCTCAGGTGTGCGTAGCACTGGAACACGCCCGCACCTCACTCTTCTTGGTGGTTAGCTCAAGACACTGAGCTAAATCCCCCTTTGAACTCGGAGCTTTTACACAACCGTGGGATGATCAGGGGTGCAGAGCCCAGGTGTAGGCCTGTCTTCGTCCGGTAAGGAAAAGCGTGTGATTTTATACGCGATTTGATGAAGCGCCCGGGTTTGGAAAGTAGGAGACGCGGCGTTCCGCAAGAGGGAAAGGAGGCACGGTGGTTGGGAGCTTTAGACGAGTTTGATACGGGTGAAATCGACTTGGTCTGGACAACACAGTTAAACACCCACCTCATGCTTCTCTCCCTTCATCACCTTACCTGCCGCGGTTTTCTTCCACGCGTGAGGGTCGGTAGGCTGCGTGCTGGCACTCGGCCGTCACGGGCGGGGAGCCTCGTGCGTACCTCTCCGAAGGGGGCTCGCGCCATCTTGGCCCCCGCCAGCCTTGGTCCCCTCGCTGCGGGACTGTCACATCAAGGCGACTGTTCTTGTCAGTGTCCTGCTTTCCTGCAGCCTTGGGGATGTCACGCTGGCGTGTCGTCTCCTTGGAGATGTCTGGCCCCAGAGCCAGTGTCCTGTAAGCTGGCTGGTTTGCCACGTCATCGTAGTGTGTCGCATGAGCTCACGTGGTTGCCACGGTTCCGAAAGGCAGACGCTCTGTTTTCTGCAGAGTCTGGACGGGGGGTGGGAGGGAATAGAGGGTGTTGGGAGTTGGGCTTCTGCCCTGGGGGAGCTGTTTTTCTCTGCATTCCAGAAATGTCTGAGTGCTCACAGCGGGCACAGTCCTGAGTGGAAATTTTAAGGAAGGCCCCGAAGGGGTTTCCGATATGGCCGAGGTTGAAATTAAGCCATGCTTGTGACAAGTTCAGCGGTGCAAGGTGTTTCTGGTTGGAAAGCTTGTTTTGTACCCTGACTTGGGACTGGAGAGCCTGCTGCCACTTCAGGCCCAGTCCTGTCCCCACTGCAGTGCCTGGTGGCACAGCTTTCCCGCCACTTCGGGTCAGAGCCTGTCGATCGCTTCTTTCTCCACGCCCTGGAACCCAGTTGACCCTGGTGACGTCTCTGTGTCCGCTTCTCCTGCCGACACCCTCGTTCCTGACCCCCGTCGCTGCAGCCCCGAGTCGCCCCAGCGGCTCCTCGGCAGGCCGCCCTGCCCTTCGGTCGGTGTGTCTGCGAAACCCCGGCCTGTCTCCCTCCCTGCCGGAGCGCTGCCTGGAGCGGCCGCGGCTGGCCCTGCACCCGCGTCCTTCTCCGCGGGCTCCAGCAGGGCTTCGTGCCCAAGGCTCCTGAGTTCAGCGGGTGCGGCCCCTGGAAATGCTGTGTCACGTGTCGTAGGCACAACCCACAGGAGATAAGAATGACTCATCTGCGGGTTCTGTCAGCTTCTAACTGGCGGTCAAGGCCTTCCCAGGCGGCCCTCAGACTCGTTTGCTGCCTGTTCACTCCTGCGGGCCCTGTGGGTTCCAGCCTCACTGTTTTCGTGTTCTTGACCTAGTTAGCTTTACTTACCTTTTCCTGCCTCTCGCCACCTGCAGTGTTCATTCATTTAGAGAGTAGATTAGTAAACACTCTTATTTCCCAAACATTCTTCTGCCCTATTCCACTCCCCGTTCCCTTCCCTCGGAAGTCTTCCAGGTGCTTTCCCTGAGCAGCTAGCTTGCAGGGCCTGGCGCTTCCTTTCCCGGCCACTTGGTTTCACAGTGATTTCTTCTCTCCCCGAAGGGGTTTACCTCCCCAGTTTTTGCCCTTCATTCGATGCCCTGCCTTGTCTCGTTAAATGCACATCTTAGATTGCTTAAATACCCTGGTAGTTCATCTGCTACAGGAAGTACGTGCCCTACACATAACAACAGATAAGAAATTATTTTGTGAATTTGTCTCAAATGAAAAAATAAAGATAAAAATAACATCTATCTTTGAGTGAAAAATACATCCACTCATTCTTCCCTGCAAAGATTTCCTGGCTCTGGACTTCATGTTTCCATGTTGTCCGCATTCCCAGTTTCATCGGAAAGTAGCCTCAGTGACTCCCTTGTTGTACAAAGTAGGAACATAGACCCTTTGTTGAGCTGCCCTCCCCGACCCCCGTCCAGCCAGAGAGGTGACTGGAACGTGCATCTGCTCAGTTCACTCCAGAGTCAAATGGCAGGTCTGTGCAGTTTAGCGTAAGGCTCACTCACGTTTATTTTACACTGGGCGTCGTCGCGCTGGAGGGAAAATTGTCCCCAGTTTCCATGTGGCTTTTCAGAAGGGAAGGCCTGTGCTTTTCGTTTTGTGATATTTATTTGTCCAAAGAGGCCTAAACGATGAGGAAGCCTAACCCGTATGTTCTTCACTGAAAACTGCCACACAGAACATCTGTGTTCACCAGCCAGGCTTCTCGAGTGAAATTCAGAAGGGCCGGCACTGGCGTCTGCAGAGAGGCGCTGTCCGCTGGCCGCAGCGGGGGGAGAGGAGCGGGTCACCGGGTTAGGGGGAAGGTCTGTGAAGCTGAGGGCTCGCTCCAGGGACCGCCCCTCTGCGGCCTGGGTGTACGCATGGTCCCCTGGTCACATCTTGAGCTGAATGTACCTTGTTTGCAGTGTCCCGCCTTAGGGTCCCAGCAGCCGGTGCTTTCCACACCGAGGGCGGTCGGGCTGCCCCGGCTTGCACCAGTCCCGTCCACTGCTGGGCACCTGGACACTGGGCCTGGGGGACCTTTTGTCACATTGCACTGGGGCTTCTGCTGCCTCTGCCCACTGACCTGGAAAACCTCGAGGGCCCATCAGATCTCTCTGCCTGCTCTTCAACCATCGGTCTTGGCAGACCTGCCTGCCACAGACCAGTCTCCTCCGAATTTAGCCCATCCCACCTGCACTTAACCCTCGACACGCTGGCACTGTGCGTCCCCCCCAGCGTGTTATCTGGTCTGTCAGCTCAAGGCTCGTGTGGAAATTGCCTTTGAAAGACATTTTCTCTTTATTGGCTTTTTACCTTCAGGAGCAGCGCACGTGGCCTTATTTCCATAGGTGTCCGTAGAGGACTCACGCGACCTCTGGTAGCAGCTGGCTGGGTGCAGACGCCTGTGCTAAGTGCTTGCCAGCGCTGCGGAGGGGGTGCTGCAGCTCGAAGTGTCCAGCGAAGAAACTCACGTGTGTCACCTACACTTGTGGTGGCAAGAACAGGGAGCAAACTAGGAGCAACTTCGAGTACCAGGGGCAAAGAGTCAGCTCTCTAGGAGTGTGACAGAAAAGCTTGCCACACCTGGGGGACCCTCGCTCCTCGCTGTGAGCGGCGAAGGGAAACAGGCGTTCTTGACACTGAAGTGGCTCCCCAGATTCCTGTGTGACCGGTCTTAGTCACTCCGCTCTTCCTCTTTCTACGACACAGTCAGACCTGCTTTTGATCTACAGTTTAGCGTGTCCTTGGTCACGGGACCTCTTGTCGCCGCCCTGCAAAGCCTGCCCAACGTGCATGTTAATCGAGCCCACTTTGCACCCCAGCGTTTATTGAGTGGCTATATAGTTTAAGGGACTGGCCTCGTTGGGTTTCTTGAGGCTCACCTCTTGCCCTCGCAGGGGCGGTGTGAGGGCCAGTTACTAGAACGGCTTTGTTTTGCAGGTCGCGGAGAGAACTCCTCTAGACGCAAAGCCACCTCCACACCCAGACTGCCTTCCTTGACCCGCCTGTGTTGGCCACCAGCTGCCTTAAACACTCGCCCCACAGTTGAATACCTTATTCTACAGCGCAGTATTTTTTCTTGTACCTTTTTTACACTTTGATGAATTACGTGCCTCCGTGATCTCAGCTGTGCCGACGACATAAAATGTGCATGCACTCTCCTGAGATAGAAGGTGCTAGCCTTCTGAGGAACACGCCCTCGCCCCTCGGAACCTGTGGATTTGAAGGCGGCTCCTGCCCGCTCACGACGTGGGAACCCGCGCCGTGTTTAAGACTGTCTCGGGGCAGTGAGGTCGCAGGGCAGCAGCCAGCAGGAGCGCATGCTCCAGGGGGGCTGTGTCCCAACAGACCGCACCAAAGTCTATTTTCAGGATAAATTTCTTCTGCCATCTTTTGGAATAAATTATTTTCCTGCTTTCTATGGAAATGTGGTGTTTGTGTTTGTTAAGCTCATTTTTATAAGCTTTTCTTCTCTAAACAATGCCTTAAAAAAAAAAAAAAGGCACCGCATTTCAAACTCAGGTTGGATGAAGGAAACCGGCCGTGTAGTTTGAGGTGCCCGAGGAGACTGGTAAGTACTCGCCTGGACCGTTCAGTAAGCACTTGAGTGCCTGCTGCAGCCCAGGCACTGGGGGGTCGGGCATGTGGAAATGGGGTCCGTGCAAGTTCAAGAGCCATTACACTATTTGGAGAGGAAGGTCAGTCTACGTAGAACTATAGAACAAGTTCATGTTTGTCCATAACAAGTGTTACGATGGTGTGAGCAGGTGGGTCAGTACCAGCCACAGGGACAATTTGGAACCAGTGGCTCATTGTACCTCCCGCCCTCGGACCCGGGACTGGAGAAACCCAGGGACTGAAAAAGCCTGGGGCAGGGGGCGGTAATTCTTGATAGCAAGCCTCTCAGTAGCTCGCTGTTTGGGGGACTTCATTCGTTTTAAGAAATTGAAAATTAAAATAGACCTACATTTCTGCCGGCCCACGGCTCTTTGACAGCCAGCCAAGAATGGATTTCCTGTTTTGCAGTTCGCACTTTTCTGTCCCTCCCGAACTCTCTGAGCTCAGAGCCCTGCTGTTCTCACGAGCAGAGAGAGTTTCGAGTTGAGGTGACTTCACTTCTTCCAGTCTCTGCTTTCGTTCTGAACGTGAGGCTCTGCTGAGCGTTAAGGTGTCCCGTACTTCACTCTTCCAGCAAAGGGGCTGCTCAGCTAAGGTCACGGAATCCATAAAGCAGTGACAGCTTGGCCCCAGAGGGACCCTAGTGATGCGTGCTAACTAAGCCCACTATGTGCGGACAAGAGATCTGTACCTTCAGTGCAGCTGGTCAGAGGCGGGCGGGGGAGTGGGACCCATTCTCTAATTCCCACTCTGGAGTGCTTCCTGCTCGCCACCCTGCCTGGCTCAGAGTTGCACTGGCCCGGAGCCAGCTCCGGGTCTTGGGCAGGAGGGGGGAGTTCTGCCTTTGTGGGTGCAGGCTGTCTCACATTAGAGCACCTTGCTTGGCCCTTAATTGATACTTGTCATCCAAGAAAGCAGTGCCGGTGTTTACTGTGGCTACGTAGGATGCCATGGTCTTTGACCCGGGCCGCCGAGGGAGGGGTGGGGGTTGGCTGAGACTCCAGCACAGCTGTGTACCTGGATTTTCAAGTCAGGCCTGCAGTCCATTGTTGCCGGGGATCAGTCTGAAAGCTTCCCCACTCGCACCCTGCACCACACCACCGTGGTTTGGGGGCTGTGCCTCGAGATGTCCCCAGTGCAGTGGTGCTCCCTCTGAGTGCGGCTGCTGCCTGTCCTGAGTCCCGTGCACGACAGTAGCTGCTGAGGAGCCCACAGACGTGTGACCCGGCAGACCTCAGCTGCGGCCTGCTTTCAGCAGAGTGGACGGCCGCTCGGGGACTCTTCTCACTCGTGATCGTGGAGTGGCACGTTTCCAATGTAATGGCATCGTTGAAGGCAGAGGTCACCATCTTGGCTGATCCAAATCCCTGGGTTCCGCCTCTCTCTGGCACCTTGTACTAATCCATTTGTCTACCTCTCCCTTGCTCTAAGTTGGACCTCGGGAAGTAAACTGGATTACGTTGCTTTTCTCTCTCGGGCCCGCTTGCCGTTTGCCAGGATCTGGTTCCCATGAGAGTGTCAGGTGTCGTAGGAATCACGGTGGGAAACACAGGCCTGGTGCTGCACCGGGGAGGTTTGACCGTCCCCCAGAAGGGGACATCTGGCTCAGCGAGCCCTCGAGGGAGGGAAGAGTCCCTAATGATTCAGCAGCAGCTCAGGCCTGAACCCGGAAGGTTCCCTCCAGACCCTGCTGGAACTGACTCCCATGACGACTGAAGGGACTCAGCACAAGGCCTGTGAAGAAGAGCTCGTTTTCCAGCCAACTTGATAGATCAAAGACCTTCCAGAAAGACGGATCGCAAGCCCTTCAAGGCCAGCTGCAGCGTCACCACCTGGCCACCTTGCTGTTGTTGAAATGAGGGGCTGGTGAAATCCACTCAGGTGTTGTGCAGGAGGCTCAGGAAGCTCCCTTTGCCCAGGGCCACTTAGTCCTTGAGCCTGTTTTCTTCCTCATCTAGGACATTCTTGAGACTGTGAAGTGCACTGAGCAGGTAAATTCAGATACATGTGTTCTCCTCACCTCATCCTTGAGAACTGGACCATGTTGATACAACATGACCCAGCCTCTGAGGTGGGTGCTTGTGAATCGTTTCCTCTGACAGTCCCCTTGCTCCGAGTTCGCCAGGGCTCAGGTCGGGGGCCCAGGTCGGGAGGTGCCCCACCCAGCCCTTGCAAAGGATGCTGGAAAGATCCCTCCCCTTCAGAGCCTCCCCAGGTGAACGTGGTGTGGCCTGGTCCGGTGATCCTGGTCCGGTGATCCTTAGACTCGGAGAAGCCCTGGCTTTGCAGTCTCCTTCCATCTCTCGGCAGCTTACGTAACTCGGGGCAAGTCATTTCCTTACTGAGCCTTCGCTTTTTCATGTGTGAAATGGGGATGATACCTGCACTTTCTGCTACACTAGGTTGTTACCAAATGAGATGTTGGTGGTGAAGATGCCTTGTAAATTATAATAATAAACAAAGTGTATTTTCCAAACAAATTATAAAATCCCTTGGACCTATTGACGGTACTTTTATTTCTTTTTTTTTAATTTTTTTTCTTGAATGTACTTTTCTATAAAGATAGGCCCCGGAGGGACAGCCAACTGATCTTTTTCTCCCCCTGCATCTGCTTTCCCTTTTGATTAGCCGGTTGTAATTGGGTTACAAGAAAAGCAGAGGTGCATCCCCAGCTCCGGGCCTGAGCTCTGACAGGGCGGTGGATCTCCTAGAAACAATCACAGATCCAGTGTCTGGACCACATCCTTCCAGGTTCCACCAGCTCTTTTGCCAGAAGTGGGAGTATTTCCGGCATGCTTTCGAAGATGTAGTTTGCTGGGTCATAGGTTTCTTACGTGTTTTTTTGTTGTTTTCTTTAAACGTACAGTGATGTCTGTGCCCTTGTCACTGGCCTAACGATTATGACATCTTTCTTCGGTGTTGCTTCAGAAGGAGCACCTTTTTGGTTCATTCCTTCTAGCCACTTTCTCTCTCTCTCTCTCTTTTTTTTTTTAAAGCAACGGCAAGAGTCCTGCCATGCTGAAGCAAATTTAGAACTGGGGAATTATTTTAAATTGTTGCTCAGGCATGAAAGAGCTGGCTCTGGATTTCATCTTCCACAAATTGGAAGAGTCGATCGCTCCTTTATTAACTTTATTTAAGTTATATTTTTAAATACGGATCTGGGCATTTTAGAATGGTTTCATTACCCCATTCATCGAGGCAAGAGCTCTCCCTGTTTGGAGGACAAGTGTGTTTAAAAGGGAGATGCTTCTTAAAAGTTATGTTGCCTTCTGCCCTGTCCTTCTATTTCAGCTTCCTCTCAAGAGTTCAGTGGCTGCAATTAATTGTAGAAAACCCATATTTTTCAAAGGAAAAAAGCACAATGAAAATACCATTGTGAAAGATAGTTGTCATAGTGCAATGAATGGAAAGCACCCTTCGTGCCCAACATAAGGAAATGCTGGAAGAAGTCACGCCACACCCAAATGAAGGAGTCTCGTGGGGCCTTTAATGACTTTTCCCCCAGAATACGTACCTACAGAAGAGATCAAAGAGACAACAAAACCATTAACATTGCCTGTAGATGGTAACTACAAATGATTTTAATAATTTTTTTTTGGCAGTTTCTCCCATGGAAATGTAATACTTCAGTAAAAACAAGCAACAGTAAGAGTTACTTTACTAATGATATCGTGCTTGCTTCTGCAGCACGTATACTTTGCATGGCTCCTGCACAAGGGTGACAAAAAAAAAGGGAGGGAAAGAGATAATAGAATAAAACAGGAAAGAAAAAGGGGTTTTAAACTTGTGTACATAGCAAAAATCCTGGGAGGAAATAGACCAAAATGTTATGATGATTATTTCTTTTGCAACTTTGTGTGTTTTCCAAAATTTCCACAAAGAGTGTGTAGTATTGTACTATTATAATGTACTATTATAAAACACCATCCCCCCCGATGGTGTTTTTTTTGGGGGGGGAGGTTGGGGGAGACCATTGTCAGAACAGTGTTAGTACTTCCTTCAAACATTATATAACACACCACACACATCCTTTTTTAAAAAGAGTAATTCAGGGTCAGGGGAAGTGAAGTCAGCTAGATTTGTTAAAACACTGAAGCTATTCTGAGTCAATGAAGATTAGCGCGTCCACACAGCAATTCCGATTAACTGTTTCCATTGTGCAGGGCGGAGCGGCAGCACCCAGCGTGTAAAACTGGCCTCCTTTTGCATAGGTGCTCATAGGGACAGCCCCGTGCAATGAGAAGGGAGCATTGATTTGGATTCTACCCACATGGAAAAGTGGAAGCCTGGGATATTAATGCTCTGGGGTGCCGCATGGGTCAGAAAAAGCCCCACTGTTCTTCCACTCCCAGCTGCTGCAAGCAAGTCTTTCATTCAGGCTGTGCCGCTGCTTCGCTTAAAACCCCTTGTGAAATGTATTGGCCCTTTTTTTTTAAACCAAATTCTCCCTGCTTTCCAGGCTAACTCCAAGCAGGAGTATGCTAGTGGCTGAGAATGCTCTGCCACTAATCCCTCCTTCTACCCAGAACTCCTCGCCCCCTTCTCAATTCAGCCCTCTGATCCCAGACAGCCTGGAGGCACTGTCTCACCAACTCCCTCCGCACGTGGTGACCCCGAGTTCCTGCAGCACCCTTTATTTGTAATCGCTACTGTAATTCATAGGGTGTTTTCCCCTGAGGCTGCAGAAACCTTTGCTGGGCAAGATCTCCGGCTTATTCAAGCGTTTGATCCCTGCAGCCTTGCGCAGAGTAGGTGCTCAATGAGTGTTAATTCGCTGCAAGTCCTGTGGGAGGCCAGGCCTTCCTG